GTTTCAGAAAAAAAGTAAGCGAAACGAAAATTCTGGTGGCGGCTTTCAAGGTATGTTGGACATCCCAAAACAATTTTTAAAAAACCAAATGTGACAATCAAAAGGCTTTTCTCCACAAACCGCCCGATGGAAAAAAAACTTTTCCAAAATTCAAAGGGGTAGCAAACCTCGGGGCTGGGGGCTCGCCCTGGAAACTTTTTTGAAAACAAGGGCACTCTTTCCACCAAATTTGTCTTAGGGATTGGGGCAAAGTTGACCAAATTCCCTTATGCAGCCAAAAAAAAAATTCAACTTGGGCTTTTTCTTGCTTTTCAAAAAAACAAAAAAAAAAAAAAAAATGTTTCCCCCTTTCTCCCATTGAAGAAAGTTCAAAGCGAGGGGAACCAAAAATCACAAAAAAATGAGGTGAAAATTGTAAGCAAAAAACGCCCTAGAGTTAGTTTTTACTATAAGTAGACGTTGTAGCTATTCAATTTTTTTACATATTTAACGGTTACCCGTATTCCCTTGTTATGGGGTTTGCTGGCACTGAAATGGGTTTGGAAAACAGTTTCTTTTTTCCTTGTATTTTTTCAATTTAAATTTTTTGCACTTTTTGGTTAAAATGTTTTTGTCTGGGCGTCAAAACAAAAAAAAAATGGTGAAACCAAAAACCGTTATGATTTTTTTTTTGTTTATTACTTTGGAAAAAAAAAAAAGTGGAACAAAAAAATAATTTTGCTAAACAGTACTTTTTACCTATTCTTTTGTGCTTTGGCCATTTTGGGAAGGCTCTTTAAGCGCCTTGTTTTTTTTGGGTAATTGTTGAAGCCAAACAATTTATTTTGAAAACTTTTTTTTTTTGGCTTAGTTATTTGTCTTCAAGTTAAAAAATGGCAAACTTGGTTGGATGTGGGCCTGGTTTAAAAAAAAAAAAAAATAAAACCTTTGGAAAAATATTTGAACTTCTAAGCAAAAACAAAATTGTTTAAAATTTTTGGGGGCCTTAACAAAAACTGGTGCAACTTTTTTTTTTTTCAGGAAAATTCTGTTTAATTAATTGGCTAAAATTTTGTTGTGTTTTTTATTTTTTTGCCCCTTTTTTTTTGAAACCCTACCCTTTTTGTTGGGGATTGAAAAAACAATTGGAAATAAAAAAAAAAAAAAATTTGGGCGCATGTTTTTTCATCGCCCAAGTTAAATTATGTGTTGGTTTTAAAAATGTTGTTCCAAAAACTTTTAAAACGACCGCTTTTTAAAACCCAGGGGGCGCTGAATGGTCTGGGGGGGCCACCAAATGGGGGCTTGAAATCTTTTTTGGTAAAAGTTATTTAAAAAAAATTCTGGGCCCAAAAAAAACTGAATGTGGTAAGTTGATATAAAAAAGCCCCTGGTTCTTTATTTTACAATTTTCTAAAAAAATTCATTGCCCCAGTTTGGTTAATTTTCAGTTGGCGGGCAAAAAGTGTTGTGTTTTGTTGTATTTAAAATTGGACGGAAAAAAAAAAAGCCTTAATTAGGCAGAGTTTTTCAACAGTATAAAAATTATTTATAAAAAAAAAAACGGGTAAGGCTTTTTTCAAAAAAGCAAATTTTAATTGGCGCGCCAAAAACTTGAATTTGAAGGCCAAATTTTGTTGTGTGAGGGAGAAAAAAAAAGCAAAACAGGTAAAAAAAAAAACCGGGGTTTTGGGTTGGGTTTTAGAGGTGGGGGAAAAAAAATAACCAGGGTGGTTGCCCGCCCCCCAACTTTGTGGGCGGGGGAAACTTTGGCAACAAAAAACACAAGCATTTTTTAATTAATTTTGTTTTCCCGGGGCGTTTTTTTTCCCACACAATTGGAGGGAACTATTGGGTCCCCGGGGGGCCATTTGAAAGTTGATAAGGCGGTCCGCGCAAGAAAGGGGCCGGATCGGGTTCGCTGGATTATTAATTTTTAATTACCTTTGTCTTAAAAACCCGGCCAATTTTTTTTCCCTTATAAAGTTGCGCTTTTGGGACAAACGGCGGACCAAAACAAGAGTCCCCCAAAAAGCCCCCCCCCCCCCCGTTTGGAATAGTCACGGAGCGCGAGGTGGTCTTTTTCCCGGGTTCCCACCCCACCCCACCGTTTTCCCAAAAAAAAAAAAACCAGGTTAAAAAAAAAAAATCCCCCCCCACTAAAACCACCACTTGCTTTTTTTAAAAACAAGTACTTTTTAAAATTCAGTTCTTTTGGAAGAAAAAAAAAAAAAAAAAACAAAGGTAGGGAACGTTTACTAAAAAAACAAATAAAATTTTGTGGAACCAAAAACTAAACATTGCTTTTTTATTTAAAAAATTAAAAATAAAAACATTTTTTTTTAAAATTTCCACAATCAAAAAAAGAAAAACAAAAAACAAATGGTTTTTTTAAACCAAAAAAATTCGTATTTAAAAAATAATCTGATTGGGACAAGAAATTGTTAAAAGCAGGAATAAGGAGCTGAAAAACTTTAAACAAAAATTTTTAAAAATAAAACTCAGTTACCTTCTAAAATCTTTTAAAAAACCCCATTGTTTATGTATCAAAATTGTAGTTTAAACTTCCGTGGTGTTTGGGGGCGTGCTGAAGGGCAATAAACTAAAACAACCTTTTTGAGGTGGGAAAAAAAAACAAAAACGTTACTTCGGGTTGAGGATGGGGGCTAACAGGAGGCTTTGGCTAGAAAAAAGGACAGTTCGAAAACCCGGTGAATTCCTCCGGGTCTTGAAATTGTGTGCAACTTTTTGGCTAAAAAAAAAAAAAATGGTTTTTTTGAAAACAAAGATTGCCCTTGTGGTTCCGGGGCCCTTAACATTGCTAAACTTCTTATTCACTTTGGTAACCTGAGCATGTCCACATCGACACGCGCTATTTAGTTTAACCACACACTCGGAGCGCGTTCTCTCCGCCATCTCCCTCCGTGTGTGTGTGTGTGGTGTGTGTGGTGTGTGTTGCAATGCATGTAGCAGAGCGTGGTTTTAACTGCCCTATCCCCTGTGTGCCTTGGCACACAGACGGGGAGAGAGATCTCTCGTCTGGAAAGATCTAAAAGACGTATGTTGCTGTCTTTTTGCATATTAGAAACGGAGTTGGCGACACTACAACTGCAATGTAATGTTTGTGTAGCAATAATACATATGACATATATATAAATATATATATCGGCGGCCACAGGTTGTTTATCCTTGACAGTCGCACATGGGCACACACTGAGTGTTTTCATATTCAGCAAATGTGTACACGCTAAACTGCAGGCTTCAAGAAGAAATAATACTTTCATTCACTCACGGCAAAAGTTACTGTACTTACTATAAAAACTCACGGTAAAAAAAATGCACTCCCTGTTCCATTGTCATGAAGTTGGAATCTAACTATATCCAGAATAAGTTTTATTGGATCCAGGCTAGAAACATGTTTATTTCTGATGTAAAGTTGGGCATTTTAACATGGGGGTCTATGGGAATTGCTCCTTTCTGCATCCATCCCCTGTCGGCCACTAGATGAACTGCAGTTTGTGGCACTTCCTTCTGGGTTTACCGGCTCTGCGCTATGAAGCGCTGATTGGCTGTGGGTGGGCCAGACGTGCATGTGGCCCACCCAAGTACGCCACTGGCCAAGAGAGGTATTTAATAGTAATAAAATACTTGCTCCAACTGAATTAAAAACATCTCTGAGAAGGCGAGAGGGAATGGTATCTGAGCTGCAGTTTGTCGGCCGCAGGTGCTTGACCACATCTGAGAGAGAAGAGAGGGATACAGGCTCAAAGTGGTCGAGGACAGGAAAGGAGCAGGATCTGGGGTAGCACTAGTGTGGGCTAGCCTAAGAGCAGATACTT